GAGTTTATTTTCTTTTTGCCTGAATTAAAAATAAGCATGAGCAACAATTATGTCACTAGAGACCAGGATTGCCAAGTATAGATGTTAGTGTGCATTACATCTTTTAGGACTCATTGCTATTTATGGCATTGCTAATACAACTGGGCTTATATTAGCGCTTTGCTTTCTGCATCCATCAACAATTCCTTTTCTGCCAGAAGGGCCAGCAAATAGCAGAGTTGCTTCTCACAAAAGCATTCATACATGCATTCATCCATTCAGCACACAGTCCCTACGTGCTGTGGTGTCCCAAGTTTTGTACCAGGCATTAGGAACATATGAACATGTCAAGACAACTGTCCTTAGGTAGCTTGCAGTCTGTGATGACACAGGCATTAAATACATAATTTAACAGTGCAGTAATGTTACAGATGACACAGGCATTACGTACATAACTTAACAGTGCGATATTGTTAGAGAAGAGCATTTATGAAGTGTTGCAATTGTGTCCAGATGAGAGTAATGACCTCTGCCTGTGAAACCAGGCAAGCCTTGCCCAAATGTCAGAGATGATATTTTTCTGATAACTAAAGGATGCAAAGGCATTTGCCTGACGAAAGGAACAGAGAGGAATGTGAGGAAACAGTGTATGCAAAGTTGCGGGGTTGGGGGGCCATGAAAGGGAATGACTTGCTCCGTGAGCAGTAGTGAGCTGTGAGCAAAGAGTAGGGAAGAACTTAGACTTGGGTTGGAGGTCAAGAGAAGCAAGGTAGACTTGCTTTGTGGTGATGTGCAAAGGGCTTTTTTCTTGAGAATAGAAACCAAGAGGCTCAGAGAGGGCTGAAATGCAGAAGAGAAACATAAATGTGTCCTGACCCCCAGGACCAATAAACTGAGGCCTGGGAAGACACCTAGTGCTGTCTTCCTCTCTCGGGGGCTGCCATAACAAAATACACAGACTAGGGGCTTAAACAACAGAGATTGATTTCGCACAGTCTGGAGACTGGAGGTCTGAGATCAAGGTGCAGGCTGTAGTGTCTGGTGAGACCTCTCTCCCTGGGTTGCAGATAGCCACCTTCTCGCTCTGTCCTCACATAGCCTTTCCTCAGTGCATGTGGGCAGAGAGAGAAAGGACGCAGGCTCTCCATGTCTCTTCTTATAAGGACACTAATCTCATCATGGGGGCCCCACCCTCATGACCTCATCTAACTCTGCTAACCTCCCAAAGGCCCATCTCCAAATACCATCACATTAGGGGTTAGAGCTTCAACATATGGATTTAGGAGGAACACAATTCAGTCCACGGCAGCCTGACATGCTTCCTTCTACTGCACTTCTTTAGTTTTTGTTCAAATGTCACTTATTAGGAAATCTCTCTGACCTCCTTGTATACAAAGAGCTCACAGGACTACTCATCCTGCTTTTTTCTTCTTTTCTTAGTGGGTGTGTCAGTTTGTTTGTCCCTATCCTTGCACTAGAATACAAGAAAGGAATATGGAGAAATGAAAGCCATTCAGTTTGTTGAGTTGATAGCGGTGTCATCTGTTTTGTTCACTGCTGTACCCAAGGTTCTCAGAACAGGGCTGGCAGAGTCAACCTTGGATGAGTATGTGATGGATGGATGGATGGATGGACAGATGGAAGGAAGGAAGATTTGTTCATCTTTAAGACCAAATGGCTAATTGTAAACGTGTTTTTTCATTTTATTGGATTTCCCAGGTGTGCATATGATATCAAACAGAACAGGAAACATATTATAGCCTAATTTTCACCATTCTAGGCAAAAACATACGATTCTACTGAGAAATGCACTACTGAAGCTCAGCATTTCGGGGAATAATTTGTTAACTTTTCTTGTCTTTCATGGGAAGCAGGGTCACTTCTACTCAAATTTTTAAAAATTCAACTCCTGCAGGTTAAGATAATGAATTCTGAATTTGGGGAGCCAAATTAGATGTTCAAAGAAGCACATATTACCTTGCATTCTAATTCAAAAACTATATCAATGCTCTGGTTATACCTATGTAAAAATTAAATGTGCATATAGACCATGACTAGAAAGGAAGATGGAAAAAAATGAAATTTTTTTGTTTTCTTGGATTAGCAAAATTGTCCATGAATTTTTCCTCTTTATTTCCTGTTGTTATTGTTACAATATTGTCTGTGTAGTAAAAAAAAAATTACGTGTACTATGAAAAATGAAATTTGACAAATGAAAATGGAATTTAATAAAGAATGTCTGCTTTCCTATGGGTAAAATTACCCTGCTTTTTAAATGTAAGACTATTGCCAGAAAGGCAATATGGTGAGTCTATACTTAAGAAATGGCGTGAATGATCCAGAATCACCTCACTTAAGTGGGCTATGCGATCAATGCCTATTTGGCTATCTATTGTGCATTCTCCCATTCACTTATTTGTACTGAATTGGTTTTCTGTGCATAATCTTTTCTTAGTCCGGTGAGCATAGGGAAGCAGAGTCTTGTCCCCTTTCTGGAAGTATCTTGACTCTCATTCATTTTTCCACCTGTAGGAGCAGCTTCACAGTTTTGCATCGTTCTTTTCCATCCTATATGTGTCCATAGAACTCGTACTGTATTAGGCATTTGTAAGATTGTTTATTTCCACCTCCCTCCCTCCCTGAAGGACTGGCCCTCCTAACAGGATCCCTCTTAGATGTTCCTCCTGGTGAATCTGCCCATTCTACTATTAGGCAATACTAATGGTTAGGAATTCTGAAGTGTTTTTGAGACACAATTCTGCCTCTGAAATTTCCTTTTGGTTCTAACTCTACCTTCTGGAGAATAAGTCTTCACTCTCTTCTGGGTGCTAATTCAAATAGATGAAAACTGAGTATTTGGGTTTTGAGGCTGAAGACTTCTTTCAACCTTACTTCACGTGACGTATTTTGCAAACATCTCTGTCTTCTGATCATCTTTGTAGACACACTCTCTATAGCATTATCTCTGACAGTATCCAGCCTAGACCTGGACAATATGTTGTGGATGTGTTAGGGCCAGAGAGGGGCACACTGGGAATATCAAAAGGACTGCTGTCACTGCAACATTTGTCCAATCACACTTCTGAAGTAAATCAGGTACAGTGCTAGCTGGTCACGAAGTTGACACAACGCAAAAGTGCATATAAACTTTAACCAATGTGTGTGATAGATGTGCTTAGGACAGAATTTAGAATCCTAGATTATTCTTATTAGCAACAAGATTCAAAAGATATCAATTGTTTGACCCGATGAAGATAATAACGTTAATTTTAGCACTCTGGATCTTGGGTAAGATTGGGTCTTGAGTACTAAAACATTCTGGTTTTGGTGGTTACCCTGGGATTCAGTCTGACCAGTGTTCCGGAAATGTCCACTAGGGTCTGCGCGAGGTCGTATACACCACAGAGATCCTATGAATAGTACTACTTCAAGATTTATGCTTTTCACAAATTTCACGAAAAGGGCTTATTTCCTTTGTAAACGTGGATGAAGTGAAAATCTTCTGGGTCAGCACAATCTGATCTCTTCTCCTTGTCATTGGGCAGTGATTTTCTCACAGAGAAAACCCCGTCCGAGAAGAGATGAGATCGACTCAGTGTCACTTTTTGTCATGATTTCATGTTTATGTTTAGTCTCATTGTTAAGTGCTAATAGGCCACTTCTCAATAGATAAATTAAATTCTGGATGGCAAATAAGAAGACTGATAGAAATTTCTAAACTGCTATAGAACTCTGTCCTGCTAAGACTCTCTTGACCCTGAGAGTTTTTCTTAATTTGATAACTTAGATAGCCAATATTAAATATTTGGATGTCGAATATTAATTATTTGCCATCTGAGGCTTGAGCGTTTTCTTTATTTTAATTTGCAACAATTTTTGATACATTCTACTGAGCTTTCAGTCTTGGATGAAGATGTATTTATGTATTGCACTATCCTCTCCTCGAGGCCATCTGCATTCCACTTCGCCTTGACTTGGAGTTACGATGAGTTGTAATTACGGGCACTAAAATAGAGACTACTTTGTGATCTATGCATAAGCAGAAGTCGCACTAGTCCATTTTCAGCCTGACCATATGTCTTTATGTGCCCTGGAGAGTCCCAGTTACTCTTGTATAATTAATAATAATTATTATTAACATGAATTATTATATTTATTAATCGTTATTAATATTACCCCCCTTGTCTCTCAGAGGATCCCAGTTAGAATAGAAATTATATGATCACTCTAATTTGAAAGGAACTGAAAGTTTGGCTTCAGCAGCTATTATGTGTGATTAATTTCCTAGATTTATTCAGCCTTTAGCAGTGTCTCCAGATCTACTTGCCCCCCCTACACACACACACAATGCCAACCCCTGCAATAATACAGTTATGGTTCCCTGAAGGGCACTAAAACGTGGAACAGGAGTAAGTGAGTCACCCAGTGAAGACAGACCTGGGAAATCTTGAAGCCTGTGTGAGGAGATGTGGAAGGAAAAAAAGGGTCAAGATCTGAGCGGTGGGCTGAGGTTGATTAAAATGGGCGTGTGGTATGTGCTAAATAAAGGTTTGAATTTGGTAGCCTGAAATAGAAGTGAACAGTTTGGATGTAAACAAAAAGAAAGAGGAGAGCGGACTTGGGCTGGAAGAAGTAATCCTGCGTGGATGTGATTCGATGGGGTTGATAGGCTGGCTATGATGAAGAGAAACTCCAGTCACCCTGTGCTGTAGAACCTGGCTTTTTGGGTGGAGAAACATTAAGTTCACACAAAAGCCGTGAACATAGTAGGACATCAGCTTCTTTCTCGAGATGGGGTTTTGCCATGGCACGGGAAAGAGAGCCCCAGGCTTTCGGACGCTGAGGCAGATGGGCAGAGAAAGGAGAGAAGCGTGGCTTCGAGGGTGAGACCATGCCTTGCTCACTGCTCATGATTCACTGTTTGGTGTCTTGGTTCTTGAGTTAAAGGAAGTGTATTTATTTGGTTTATTTTATTTCTGTCCTTCACTAACTGGGTTTTTCTTTTATGGTGTTGTTTTTAGGAGCTGGTGGGGAGCAATCCTCCACAAAGAAACTGGAAAGGAATCGCGATTGCTCTCCTTGTGATTCTGGTCATCTGCTCCCTGATTGTCACCTCGGTCATACTGCTGACACCAGGTACTTATGGTTATTCTTGGAAAAGCAAGTCACTGTAAGGGAGAAAGAGCATCATTTTGCCTTGCAATTTTTTTCTAGATAACTACCTATTACGTAATTTATTTTTCCCAGGTTCTAATTCTTATTGTGCCATATGGTAAAATGATGTAATATGTTTTTAATGAAAAAGATCCATTTTATATGCTTTGAATTTGTTTATATAATTGTTGACTAGGTAGAAATGCTTGACATGTATTAAAATTCACGGTTACTTATTCATGCTTTGTGAGCTTAGAGACAGTGGTATTATAAATATAATAATTTTATAAATCTCATGGCATTCCTGGGTATTATATCAAGGATAAATTAACAACATATATTGAGTTTGAACTAAGGATAAGGTACTTATTAGGTACTACTGATGAAATAAAAGTATAAAACAGAGTCAGAAATCTCTCAGGGGAGAAAAAACATGTATACACATACACTATTGAATGTTTCAAAAATAAGTGCTGTAGGAGCTTAGAGGAGAGAGGGGTCCTTAATGAGAAAGCTCGTGGAGGAGGTAACGTGTAAAGGGGCTCTAATGGAGTGGTAAAATTAGTAGCCAGAAAGCCGTGCGATTAGGGAGGGAAGAAACCCTTTGCCTATAAGATAACCAGACAGGAGGTATCATAGGAAAACATTATGGCCATGTTAAACTCTGTGTAACTATTTCATCCATTCTCATTGTTGTACTAGGTGCTTATTTGTGTGGACAAAAAGAAAACTAGTTCTAATCTTCTATAAACAGACTGCACAGATATTAGACCTTAAGATGGAAAAGATGCAATGTAAAAAATTTTTCATAGGTACAAAGAGTGCAGGAAAATTATGATGTATGTTTAGACCATTATCACAAAACTTAAATGAAAAAAGAGTAATCTGTAGCCTGCAACCAAAACTAGATAAAAATATCAAAAGAAAAGAAAATTACAGACCAATATCTCTTATAAATATAGATGTAAAAGTCTCAACAAAATTCGAGCAAACTTAATCCAGCAACATATAAAAAGGCTTATACACCAAGACAAAATGAGATTTATCCAAGAAAGAAAATTTGGTTTAACATATGAAAAATTGGTGTAATACACCCATATTAATAGAATAAAGGGGAAAAAACCATGACTATCTCAATAGACACAAAATAAGCATATGACAAAAATCCAAAATTCTTTCGTGATAAAACACTCAATGTGCAAAAAGAAGAGAAGAAAACTTCCCCAACCTGATAGGGAGAATCTGTAAAAACTCACAGCTAATATTATGCTTAATGGTGAAATACTGAAAGCATTCCCCATAAGATCAGGAATAAGACAAGGAAGTTCTCTCTCACTGTTTCTATTTAGCATTGTATTGGAGGTTCTAGACAAGACAATTAAGCAAGGAAAAAACAAGACATCCAGATAGGAAAGACAGAAGTCAAACTATGTCTATTCATAGATGACATGATCTTCTGTATAGAGTATCTCAAGAAATCCACAAACACACACACAAAACCTGTTATAATGAATAAATGAGTTCAGCAACATCAGAAGATACAAGATCATTATAAAAAAAATCATTCATATTTCTATACACTAATTCAAAAATGGAATTATGAAACGATTCCACTTACAAGAGTTTCAAAAAGAATAAGATACTTGGGAATCAATTTAACAAACGAAGTTATAACACTTGCACACTGAAAACCACCAAACAGAATTGAAGGAAATTAAGAAGACCTAAGTAAATGAAAAGATATCTCATGTTCATGGATTGGAAGACGTAATATTGTTAACATGTTAACACCTCCAAATTTATCTAAGATTTGACCCAATCTCTATCAAAATCCCACTTGCTTTTATTGAAAAAATTAACAAACCAACTCTAAAATTTTAAGAAAATGCAAAGGACTCAGACTACCCAAAATAATCTTGAAAAAGAACACTTAAAGGACTTACATCTCCTGATGTTAAAATTTACTCTAAAGCTATACTAATCAAAATATTGTGGTGCTATCCGAAATATAGACATGTGGATCAATGGAATAGAATTGAGAGTTCAGAAATAAACCCATATGGCTATGCTCAATTCATTTTTGACAAGGGTGCGAAGATCATTAAATGGGGAAAAAATAGTCCTTACAACAAATGGTGCTTGTACAACTGGGTCTACACATGAAAAAGAACAAAGTTGGACTCGTACCTCACACCATATACAAAAATTAACTCAATATGGATCAACAACCTAAATACAAGAGCTAAAACTATAAAACTCTTAGAAGAAAAGAGGGGTAAATCTTTGTGACCTTGGATTAGGCAACTGTTTCTTAGATATTACACCAAAAGAACAAACAACCAAAGGAAAAATAGATACATTTAACTTCGTCAAACTTAAAAACTTTGTGCATCAAAGGACGCTACCAAGAAATTGAAAAGATAGGTCCTGCCTGGTGGCACAGTGGTTAAGTTTGCCTGATCCGCTTCTCGGAGGCCCGGGGTTCGCCGGTTTGGATCCCTGGTGCGGACATGGCACCGCTTGGCAAAAGCCATGCTATGGTAGGCATCCCACAAAAAAAGTAGAGGAAGATGGGCATGGATGTTAGCTCAGGGCTGGTCTTCCTCAAAAAAAAAAGGAAAAGAAAAAATGAAATTGAAAAGACAACCCACAGTATGGGAGAAAATACTTGTAAATCATATATTCAATAAGAGTAATATCCAGATTATATAAAGAACTCTTACAACTCAAAACAAAGAGACAATTTAATTTAAAAATGGGCAGAAGATTTGAACAACATTCTCCAAAGAAATACAAATGACTAGTAAGCATAAGGAAACATACTCACCATCATTAGCCATCATGGAAATGCAAAGCAAAACCACAGTGAGATATTACTTCACGACCACTAGGATGGCTATTAATGTATTTTTTTAAAGGAAAATTACAATATTGCTGAGGATATGGAAAAATTAGAACCTTCATACAGTATTAGTAAGAATGTAAAATTATGCAGCCTTTGTGGAAAACATTTTGGTAGTTTCTCATAAAGTTAAAGACAGAGTAACCATATGACCCAGTAATTCCCTCCTAGGTATATAGCTAAGAAAATTGGAAACATATGTTCATACGGAAGCTTGTACACAGATGTCCGTCGCAGTGTTATTCGTAATAGCCGAAAAGTGGCAACAACCCAAATGCCCTTCACCTGCTGAATAGATAAACAGATGTGGTATAGCCATACAACTGAATATTATTCAGCTACAAAAGGGGATGAAATACTGATCCATATTACAATATACACAAAACTTGAAAACATTATGCTAAGTGAAAGAAAAGTGACGCTAAAGGCCACATATTATATGATCGCAGAATAGGCAAATCCATAGTAATAGGAAGTAGATTAGTGGTTGGCAGGGCCAGGAGGTGGGCAGAGTAGGAAGTAGCTGCTAATAGGTATGAAATTTCTTTTTTTTTAAGACATTACATTTTAGAGCCATTTTAGATTCACAGCAAAATTGAGAGGAAGGTACAGAGATCTCCCACATACACCCTGCCCCTACACATGCAGAGCCTCCCCCATTGTCAGCACCTCCACCGGAGAGGGACATCTGTTACAGCTGATGAACGTACACTGAGACCTCTCGTGATGAGATCTCTTTTTGGGGTGATGAAAATATTCTAGAATTTGATAGTGGTGATGGATGCCCACAACTCTGTTAATACGTTAAAAACTACCAAATTGTACACTTAAGAATGTAAACTTTATGATAGGTGAATTTTATCTCAATGAGATGTTAATTTAAACAGTGATGGGAAACTTGTACAAAAGAAAAAAGGGTTTAATCTGGCCATTTACATACTGAAGTGCCATGACTACTTGCCTCATATTGAAGGAGTTTTCGGTAGCAGTTCTGGAAAAGAGAATGTTGCCATCTCCTTGAGTGAGTTTGTGAATAGACGAGAGTTGCCAGGAACATTTGGACCCAGGATTCAATACAGTCCATCTATTGAACAAGGAAAAATCGATTCAACTGTTGAAATCTAAATGAGTGGAGGTGGGAAGGATTGGGGAGGATTAGTAAAGACAAATACTCGTTCTGTTTTGTGATCGTGCTGCTGATGATTTGACTTAGCTGGAGACTTTAGCAACAACATATTTTTAATTAATAGAAAGGAAATCAGGTCTCCTTCAGGATTTGTGGAGCATCTGTTCCTACCTTTGCCTCTTTGTAACAGGACTGTGCTTTAGGTAAGAAAGTGATTATTGAAGATTTGACTTTGTGGTTGTCCAACACTCACTTTGGGACTTAGAAAACAGTGATGTCTTAGGTAGTTTGTTGCTGCTCCTGCTCCCGCAAGGTACCCGTGAGAGTTCGTGTCCCTCAGAATCTGAGGGCTCTTGTACTCTTCACTTCAAAGTGAAATAGAATGGCTGGCTGGAGATCCTTTCCCACCGTAGCAGTAAGGTTGCATGATGAATGTCTTGACTGAGTAACTTAAGGCTAAGGCCCAGGGACCCTGGGAGTCTTCCCTTCACACGCCCAACTCAACACTTGGTCCCTTGATCTTCTCTGCTATACAGGAAAACCTGTCAATTCCTATTCTCTCCAATGCAGCTGCTAGTCTTGAAAGTATTTTACATTCAGTTCTTGTGCAGCAGGAGCAATCACAGCAGCATCCTTTCTGCAATAAATAGAGAATACAGTCGTTGTAAACCATTACATCTCTTTGAATGCTGACGGCCAGTTGTCAGGGACAACAACAAAAAGTAAGAGGCATCTGCTGGTGGTGGAGCTCTAATGAATCCCTGAATTCCAGAAAAGGCTTTCAAGAGAGAATTTGTTTTATTCTTCCGTGAAAATGAAAATATGGCTGAGCCTTCCCTAACCCTTCAGTTGTTGGGCTTCCAGAGCTGGTATTTCTTTCTCCTGGCTGTTCTGTTGAGCGGCTGTGTGTCCTAGGCTGAGGACTATCAGACATGCGGGTTCAACGGCAAATTT